GGGGGACCGGGTCGCGGCGCATGGCTTCTCCTCGACGCCCGGCCTCGGACCCGGGCTGGGGGTTTTATGCTCGCTTGACGCACTCGAGTCGAGTCCCGGGACCAGGCTGCGATTCTCTCTTCTTAAGTTACCCCTATGACGATGTGGAGAGGAGCAAGTTGGGATTAGGTACCCCAGAATGAAGAGGATCCGCCTTACTGCAACTTAGAACAATCTCTCACGGTGGAGTGTGAAAACCTGTGGATCACCCAAGTCCAACTCTAAACATTTTTCTGATGGGGAAACAAACCGGAGAGAGCTCAGCCGATTTACCTGGGTCTTCCCAGGGCCCCTGCGCTTTCTTGCCTTTATTCCGTAATAGTCTCAGTGAGGTTTAAGGGAATACATAGGATTGCCCTGACAGGTTATGCTGTATGTTTTCCTGTCCTCTGTTTTCCTTGGCTCTGAATTGTAATTGACAGTCTTCCCATGAGGACCCCGCTCTGGAGGATAGTTAATTCGTGGAATTAGAATTCAGGAGAGCTTTCTGGGGTTATTTGGTCCAGTAGTGAAAAGCTTTGGTTCTGCAGACTTCTGCGTAGGATTATTGATTTGGGTCATGCAGCAAGTGAGGCAGGAAACCTCTTTATATGGAAAATAAGAGTGGACTAAATTTGACATTAGGGGACCACTGACATGTTGTCGGAATTAGTAACACAGCCCTTACTAAGTATAGTAAGCCTGATCTGACTGCCATTTTCCTTTCCTTTGAAAACCCAGCTTATAGTTTCTGGAGAGTCTCTTGGGATGTCTCACATATCTGAAAAAGTGAAAATATTTCCTAGAAAGAGATTCCTTTTATCCAGCACTGTACACAAATACTCTGAATGTGTTTATCCTGGTAGCAGGTTCCTTTTCCCTAGTACACAAATTATGTCAACATGTTTATGTCAACTTATAACTTATTGTTATAAAAGAGGCCATTTGATTTGGACAGGGGTTTCTTACCTACTTTTCTCTTCACCCCATGGTTGCACGATGGGCCAGCTCTGCCAGCTCTGGCTTTCTTGGTATCTCCAAGTTAGTCCACTTCTCTGGTTCTCTTTCCTCAATTTTAAGATGAAGGTTGGCCAAAGATGGTGGTATACTGGGATGACCATAGAGGAGCAAGTGTGTGGCAAGGAAGCCCTTTCTTAACCAGTACAGAGCCTTTATCTCATATATTGAGGGTTGTTTTTTTTTCCCAGTAGGAAGAAAGGGCTCTGCAATATCCATGCCCAGTCTCTAGGCGATGACAGGAAGGCTGGAGAGAGATGAAATGGTGAAAAGTGATGTAATCAGCCATCCTTAGAAGTAACAGATGCTAAACAATAGTCTATAACTAGATGGCTAGAGAGAATATAATCAATTACAGGGTGGCTGCTAAAATTATAACCTGGTCTGTGGCATTAATGTTAAAAGCTGTAATCTGACTGATTATGCAGATAGGTTTGAGCATGGAGCTGTAATCTTGCCAGTTACTGATGATTTTGTTGAAAGAAGAATGTTTCTGGTACAGAACCTGCAAAGAGCCTAGAGAAGAACAAATAGGGCTCCTTCTTAATCCAGTTCCGTCAGAAAGAGAGGGCCTCCCCCAGGCGAAGGAGGGAATTCTGGTACTTTGAGAAATCAGCTTTTGATGGGGCTGGGCTATGCCATGTAACCTTCCCAGAGTTTAGTTGAAATCTGCAAAACCAGCCCATCCCCTGTTCTTACACTCTTTTTGCCTTGTGGCCTCCTTGACATTCATATTCTTGTCACTAGGAAGATAATATTCCCCATTATAAATGAGGAAATTGGAAAGTTTTGGTCAGGCTCCTAAGTTTGGTAACAGTGACTCAGCAGCCCAAAGCACAATCAGCTGTTGTCACCCTGATAAAAGAGGAGTTGGGGGACCAACATATTGCTGTTCCAAGAGTTTCTCTGTAGGTGTCAACCAGCCTTCCATTAGACATTGCCCTGTAACTTCTTCATATTCTCATGAACATTCTCTGGTCATATTAGGATGAAAGTAGCAATTTCTTGGTTCAAATCTGTGATGATAAAACATCATTTAACAATTATTAAAACCTGGTATTCAATTAGTTTTTAGCTTCTAAGTACTTCAAAATAATGTGTAGATATGACCTGATCTAGGAGAAAGGTAGGGAGCATAAGTGATGATCTTATTTTACAAACAGCTGAGCCTTAAAATGAGATAAATGGTGTAGCCCTCTGCCAGTTTGTTTGGTTCATGTTTTATCAGAACCACACACCCACTATTTATCCTTCCAAGCCTATACTGGATCCACACTCATTAATAACGTTAGTTGTACTCAGAATGTTGCAGAGTACAGGAATTGAGGTCAGGGTGAGAGTGTTTATTCAATATCCAGACCTCAATTCAAAACTTGAAGGACCTGCCCCAGTAAGCCACCCTACTCACACAGAAGGTATGTAACTGTATAGAAGATACTGTCTTATCAAATTCACTACTTTCCAAAAAGCTGTTTTTTCCTCTACCTCTAAAAATTTGAACCTTTAATAAGAGTTTTCACTGTAGTGCATTATGCTGCTTTGTAGAAATTGGCCTCCAGTCAGCACTGTCATAGCATTTTCCACAGTGATGGGAACCTCTGTGCTGTTCAGTACAGCTACCACTAGCTGAAATGTGGCAAGTGTGACTAAGGGACTAGATGTTTAATTTTAATTAATTTAAATTTAAATAACCACATGTGCTAGTGGCTACCATATCGGACAGCACAGTTCCAGGCAATTTGACTTAAAATTATACCTCCTGTAATTTATTTCTGTTTTCTAACTGGGTTTCAGAAGTTCTGACAACACCTGACTCTTGGCATCGAAAACATACACATTTTGTCTCTATTGCACATCTGAGAACACTTGACTGAGAAGGGTGTCTCGTTTTTCTTTAAACTTGTACATTTTAAGCAGCTTGTGCTACAGTCTCAAAGAAGCAATCTGGTAAAGTAATTATATCATAACACTAGGTGCTGTAGCCAGAATAATCAAGTTTGTGTCCAAGAGCAGCATTTCCAGTGATTGTCCCAAAAAGTGATTTAACACTTTAGAGGGAACAGAGCTTTTGTTTAATGTGACAATTAGAAAATCAGGGATGAAGAAAAACTGAAGATTAGAGGCTACCATGAACCTCTGGATATTTCTGTGTAGCGCCATTTTTATATGGATTTTCGGGGTAAAATAGGCAAAGACAGCCATTCCTATCTTAGGTGTTGTCATATGGAAAGGAGTAAAATTAAGTAACTTGGAATTGTAATTTTAGGAAATGTAGAAAGACAATAACCTTAATTAAAGGTGGAGTTTGAAAGCTCGACCTTTACGGTCTTCCTGCTCTTATTTATTCCTAGTAGGCATTTAAAATTGTCAGGCTTCTTTTTGATATTAGTCCCACTAATTTAAGCATGGCCTTACTGCTGCTGCTTTATGTTTTTGCTCTTTGTGCCTATTGATGGTGTACTTCCAGTGTTGACCTATTGGGATAGCACAGAATGAATTAGATTTTCTCAGGCAAGAGGGAGAATTTATATGTTGTCGTGGTTTACAATTTTAAGTGTCCAAAAGATGAATTGTTGGATTTGTTTCTTCCTTGTGATTTCATTTCAGGAAAAGGAGAAGGAATGGCACTGAAGAAGACCACCACCTTCCTCCCCAGACCAAAAGGAGTAGCAGAAACCCTGTCTTTCATGATTCCTGGGACACAGAGGTAGGAAGTGCGGTCAGAGTCTCTGGTGTTTTCACTGCTTGAGCTAAACAACCCAGTTTCTTCTGTGTAATAAAAATCTTTCTTTGAATAAACAAAAGTGATCTACTTGATTGCAGTGTTTCAACCTTTTCTTGAGCCATGGCCCCTTTGAGGAAGCTCGGCACCCTCTCCCAGCAAAATGGTCTTTGTCTGCACTACATACAAATCCTCCCAGATTTATATTTGTTAGAAGTTTCATGAACCTTTGCAAGCCCTTTGAACCCCCTATTTGATATTTCAGAAACCAGCTTGTGTTCTAATAGTTTATGAACCACTGTTGTCTTTAAGGCAAGAATATTTTGTTGCTTCAATTCACATATTTTTAATAATATGTGATGTATATGTATGCAGAATCCTGTTTTTCAGTGTTTTTACCTTTTCACTCTGTTGTTCAAAAAGAGCAGCTGTGGAAGGCAGAGTAGTGGGGAGAGAGAGTGGAAAGGGAGGAAGAGCTCCCAAAGTTTTGGCTTCCTAATAGTGCTTCGTGTTTCTGGGGAGAAATTCTTCATGCACTCGGAACACTGAGCTACAGTGCGGGAGGGAAGCTCACCTTAAAGTGATGCTACTATTAAACTAGGTGCCTGAAGATTTAGACCCTTAACAGTTACCACCCTGGCAGAGAAACTCCTCAGTGGCAAATTCCTGAGCCTCAACTTGGAGCAGAATTCTCTATGTCACAATTCTTGTGCAACCAGATAATTTGTAGTTTACTTCGTCCTCAATAATAGGACTTGACCTATATCCAGTCTTTGCCAGAAATCCAAAGTAACTCCCCCCAGGGTAGGGGATCAGTAACTCTCGTGTGTAAGACTCATTCAGGAACAACGAATGAAAAGTATAGTATAGCTAGATCCTTCTATGCGGAGACTTCAGTTCCTATAGCTTTTATCCCTTTTAAAAAGTTTCCTATTATACTTTTTCGACCTTTTTTTAAAAATGATGAACAGAAAGGTGACTAAGCTTTGTTTAATGTGGTAATTGGAGACTCAAGGATGAAAGAAGCGGACATTAGAGGCTCCCGTGGACATCTGATGATAAGACTGGAGCGCTGATTGCGTCCCCATGACTCTTGTGGATTGTAAGGCTGTGCCTTAAAGAGTACGCAGTGATCGCTCACGGTGTCTGCATGGATATTTCTTTACTTGTATCTGCATGTACGTTCCACCGTGTGGTACTCACATTCGTTCGAAGGTATAGTAGTAGGTCTAACTCTTTGTATTGGTCTTTTTTCCCTTTATCTACATTTTTGATGCCCAAGAACAGGAGTATAAATTGTAATGTTTAAAAAAGTTAAACATTTCTGATCTCTTCTTTTTAGTGAAACTCCTTAGGATTAGTTTTTGTTTTGTTTCATTGCTGTTTGTAGAAAACAACTTTCACTGCCTTTCTGAAACCTGTGTGTTGGCATCACAGAAGAAAACTGTGTTGTTACTCAACCTGTAGGTTAGTGTGTCTTGTTCTTACTTGTCCCAAGAAATTCAGTGGCTAAACCACTATGTAAATCATTAGTCAGGGGATGGACCTGATTGTCTTTGTTATAATTTTCAGGCAGCACAGGTACCTTTTATCTGTCACATATCTGAACTCGCCAGTAGCCCCCACGGGCAGTGGTGACCCTCTCTCTGTGTCAGCTTTGCCGGCTGAGCCTTGACCAGCTGTCTGCGCCAGCAGCCTGCAGTGCTGCGCTTCCCCAGCAGTGGTATTAACAAGTCATGAGGCCCAGCGAACCCAGGGAGAGCGAGAGAAGCAAGGGCAGGGCAAAGTCTTCAAAGCGGAAAGTTAAGCCCTGAATAATTGAATCCTCGCCACTGGAATAGGTCATTATGCTTATAACACAAAAAGACCAAGTTTAGGGGCATTTGGCTGCTTTATGACAATTGCATATTAAAGGGAAAATAGTAGAATGATTCATTACAAGTGGATTATTTTATTAATTTATAAAACAAATTACCTTAATGAAAATGTTACTTTTTAATTCTAAGGTAGGGCAGAGGTAAGTTTCTTTAAGACTAACTCAGAGAAACTGTTTGTCTTCCTGAAATATCTAAATAACCCTAGACTTCTTTTTCTTGTAACTTGAAGAACTTTCATTTGGAAGAAGCTTGTTTTAATACTAAGAGAGATTTAAAATTCCCAAAAGTTATCTTTTTCTCCTAAATGTAATAACATTGACAAGTACGGGGAAGTAAGATGTGTTAAACTATTAAACTACACACAGGTGCATCATAGTTACTGAACACTGGAGCTGGGACGTGCCTCTTTCTCCCCAGACCCCAGGAAGCTAAAGAATGTGCACTGACTTGCCAGGTGACATATGCAGAGACAAACCTACACTCTAATGTGCGTTTCCTTCCTGACATTTTAGTAGGTATTATTATTTCTACTTGTAGCACAAGGCAGGGCCGGTGAGCCCCGAGCTGCCTGTTAAGCGGCTTGCTCCTCACCATGGCGTCTCCTCTCCCAGAAGACAGGTGGAGGTTCTGGGAGACTATGCTGACTCTCCCCAGGGGCAGCAAGGCCCTTGACTGCTCAGGAGTCATCAAAACAGAAGAGTAGCTGGAAAGTGTTTCCAAGTCAATGCTGTGATAGAGCTAGAAAGCCATTTTCAGTTTCTCTTCTAGAAGAAGTGAAGACTTCAGGGTCTAGTGTTTTTTTGTTTGTTTGTTTTTTAAATCTAATTGGTGTTTGAATTGAAGACCTTGAATTTTAACTGCAGTGACTTAGATTTAATGACATGGAGCCTTAGGATGCTATTTTTAAATTGAGATATGAATTACTAGTGTAGGAATAAAAATGTGTTCAGTATCATAAGTGTATTTTCTCTGCTTTATGATTTTCCTAATATCTTTTCTTTAGCTTGCTCGATACGAATGCAATATATAATGTAACATACAAAAGATGTGTTAATCGACTGTTTATGTTATTGGTATTCTAGTCAACAATGGGCTGTTAGTGGTTAAGTTTGGGGGGAGTCAGAAGTTATATGCGGATTTTTAACTGCACAGCGGGTTGGCACCCCTAACCCCCATGCTGTTCAAGGGTCAGCTGTATTTGGCAAGCATTGTCCCTGGTGTTTGGTGTCAACTTGGATGTCTCCATTTCCTTCCTGAATCCCTTCCATCTCCCTCTGGGGTGTGACACATACCCCTTCATGGATATTGCCACAGTCCTCATGCCGGCCTGCTCTCCTGCTTAATGTTCTAGAAAATTGCCCAGTTGGCTTCTGCTAAGTCTCCACAACCTCATTCATCTCAGTAGACCCCTAGCATCCTAACTCCTCAGTACAGATACGAACACGTCTTACATGCTTGGAAACTTCCTACGGACTTCGGGCCCTTGTAACCCAGCCATGACCTCTCATGTATGTATGTATGCATGTATGCATGTATGTATGTATGTATGCCTCACTAATGCTTCCTGGAGGGGCGCAGCCGCACCGCACCATTAGCTTTTCTCTGCAGAAACTCCTGATTTTACTTGCCCTCCCAGTTTGTCACACCTTCTTACACAGAGTCCTTGTCCTCCAGGCCCAGTCCAGATACCGTCCACTTGAGCCTCTTCTAGCTCCCTCGTCCACACTATTGCTAGATTCCTGGCCCTGCAGTGGCTGTGTCCTTATCAGTGGCTGTATCGCCACCATATTCTTGATAAAGCTCAGTAAGTAAATGATGGGGGAGTCCTAGTGCAGGGCCTCCTGGTACACAGCGGCACACACACATTTGTTTGGATAGTGGTTGGACATCAGAATAATCTCTGCCTACCTGAGCCAGGTTTTCCTGAGGCGGGGCCCTGGTGTGTTTACTGCTTAAAAAAGCCTGCAGGTGGTTCTAAAATAGACTGCATTCTTGGCCTTATCCAGGCATCTGCAGTTACCAGGGTGCCCAGGTAGATTTTATTACTGCCTAAGCTAACTTAGAATCCTTCCTTTCACAGGGATCTTCACCATGGGATTCTCATGAGCTGCCTCTGTGTATTTAGAGAGAGACACTCGATGATAACCTTCACAAATTTAACTTTATTGTGCTGTATACCTGGATTTGCAAGCGGTTTTTATTTCACAGATCATGACCTTACTCTCTTTTGATTTGAAATACAAAGTTGTCATTGAAAATACCCTGGTTAGTGTCAGCACTCAGCCCAAATTGAAAATTCAGAGATAAGAAATGCGCTTTGTAACAGTGGATTTGGATAAACTGATGAGGAGTCTGTAAAGAATCAGGAGCCTGGGGGCAGGCTTCCTGTCTGATGAATCTTCTCAGTCCCAAAGTTTCTAGACTCTCAGCACAGAACGGGCTCAAGTCTTTAAGAACAGAAACAGTAACAAGGTAAACACTCTGTACCAGTTCTCAAAACCGTGTTTCAAATAGTGGTCCTGCCCTCCTCCCCCAAGGGTTTGATACGAAAAGTTCCACTTATTTGGGGAAATAGGACTTTTCCCCCTGTTTTAACTTTTTAATTTATAAGACAAAGTGATTTACTACTGTGTGTTACTTAAAGCACTGCTAGAGTTAAAATTTGATTTTATGCCTTGAGGATTAAAAGTAAATAATGGTCTTTATCCCATTAAGTAGACCCTTTGATGGCTGACATTTTAAAACCAGCTGACATACTATAGATGCTGTTTTGTAACCCGTGAAAAAGATGTTAAAGGCTTCTATCTCGCTCTGTGTGTATCATTGTTAATAGCTGAATAGAATGTCATTGTTATAAATTATAATTCATGTATTATACTTTATATACATATAATTTAGCCAGTTACTCTATTGTTAGACATTTTGGTTGTTTGCAGTTTTTAGCTGTTATAATCAAGGCCACGCTAAACATTTTTATATAGCTTTATAAAGTTATATTACAAGATTTTTTAAATGGACTAGAAATTGCTGGTATATGGGTGTCCCCCTCCCCCTTTTCTATGGTGGTTGTACAGAAATCTTTTCTAACTTGTTTATTTTAAAGAACTTTTACCTTTGCTCAGAATAGTGTCACCTTGGCTGTTATATTGTGAAATGAATATAATTTGAGATGGAAACTTGACTTACTAGAAACTGATTCTAGTTCTTGCCTTAATTTTCAGATAGTACCTGTAACGAAAAACAAAGAAAACAGACTAAGAGGAAACAAAGTTTTCTGCGCGGTGGGTTTCTTATCTAGTGTAGTGCCTGCTTGTTAAATACTCACGCCCTCAACCAGCTGTACCAGTGCAGTGCTTGGTTGTTACACTCTGAGTCAGGAGAGGCTTCTATGGGAAGCAGGTTTTGTTTTTGAATTGGCTTTGATTTCTGAAGTCTTCAAGTAAATGTAACTGTTGCTGCTAACCCTGCCATCTGATGCCACTCAGCCCATTTATAATGTTTCATGAATGTTTTTTAATTGTAGAAAGATAGGTTGTTAATTGTAGAAAGATAGGCAGTAAAATATGTGACCCACGTTATGGAGCTCCAGATGACCCATGGACCGTGACAGTTCCTGGTTTAGGCCTTGTTAATAATGGATGCCTTTTGTGAACATACTTTCTTTGCTGTTTTAGGCACGTCTATGTACAAAGATTTTTTTAAGTAGTAGAGTCAGAGTTACTTAGACCTCAACCCGATGTCCCTTTATCAACTACAACTGTAATTTCTCTAAAAGGACTCTGTGATTCCCATATACCCCTGTGGATTTATAATATATGTATTGTTAGGTGTAACTTTTGGTATTTTAAAAATCACTTTTAAAGTATCTATCTTGAAACAACATTTTGTTTTATTTATACATTTATTTTGATATTGCAGATATGTAATAAGGGTAGAAAAAAAAAGCATGTATAACCTCTATTTTAATATAACTACTATGGGCTGTTTCTTTCCAGTCTGTTTTTTTATGTGTAGAATTTACATTGTTGTAAGCAGTCAAGGGGGAGTATACGTTTAGATCTATCAAAGGGCTAATGAGTTAAAAATTTACACTAGATCATTAATTACTAGAATTCTAACTTTTTCATGTGTTGATTCCTTCTAGGACAATATTGTATTGAGTTGTAGAGAGGAGTGCTAATCGAGTGGTCGGGGTTGTCATTTATTAGAACTGCAATGTTAAAATTGTACAATACAGTAATTCTGAAAAGATCCTTACCGTTGCCTTCTCTTTTGAGACCCCTCCTAGTGGGAGAAGGAGATTTCTGAGTGACCCTTGTTAGGGATCTCTGAGGAGCTTCTTGAAGATGACTAGATACCACGCCACATTAGTTACATTAAAAAACCAGGCAGGTTACATTAAAAAAACCACACATGCACACGCACGTATCAAACTGCAAAAATGCTAATATAACTGAAGTACATTTAAGTCTCAGGATGTGTTCTGCATTCAGAGAATACCATTTTGTCTCCATGAGATAGATAACAATTGTCACAGGTTTTTTTTATCTTCACTTGTGCCCAGAAGCCATCTAGTGTGTTATGAGAACACTTTTTCACACCCAGTACCAGTGAATGATACGTTCCCTTAAAGGCTGAGACCTTCTTCCTTTGATTATTGGAAATTATTGGAATGACAGGTAGAGAAGACATATAAAGGAGTTAAGTAGTTGGAGGGATTTGCAGTAGGCCTGTGCTTGAACCTGGACCCTGCCGCTTCTTAGGGATGTGTAATTGGTACCGTAATCATACTCAACCTTCCAGGGTGCTTGTGAAGCTAGAATGAAATCTTAGGGGACTGTACCTTGTAAATTAAAGGCCAATCAGCATATGTTTTGATGCTGGTACTTCTCCGACTGGGTAGGAAGGATATTCTGAAATGGGGTACTGTAAATTAAACCACAGTGAAGTTCCTAAGAAACAAACAGTCTAATCTGAAACTTCCTTTTTTTCTAGTCTTCAAGCAGTGACAGTGGTGGGAGCAGCAGCAGCAGCAGCAGCATTAACAGCCCTGACAGGGCCAGTGGGCTGGAAAGCAGCTTGAACCACACTGGCACCGGGTCCAGCCCCAACACCCCTCAGCCGGTGCCCGAGCAGTCTGCACTGTGCCAAGGCCCGTACTTCCACATCAACCAGACCCTGAAGGAGGCGCACTTTCACAGCCTGCAGCACCGGGGACGGCCTGCAACATGAGGGGCTGGCGTTTCTTGCCTTCTGTGAAGGGACAGTGCTGTGCAGATTTGATATTTCATCTTACGATGTTTTAAAAAATTGCACAAAAAAATGCCTGTTGGCTTTTCAGTCTATATTTGAAATAACAGGTTAACAGGCAGTTGTTTACTTGTGGTTTTGCTGCACTATTGCAATTTTAAAGGGGCTTTGAAGCAATTTTTTATAGGATTCTTTTGAGGGTGGGTATTAAATCCATGTCAAGGTAATAATATGAAGAAATCTCATCTGCGTGTTGAATCCATAGTTTGTCCAGTTCAGACTGATTTCCAAATCTGTCAATTAGAAATTCTACTTTATGTAAAAAGGCCTTTTAACAATGCGGGATCTTCAATTTTTTTAATTCAATAAACTAGTAAAGAGTATATAGTTTCCATGAAAAAACATACATTTTTTCCAAAATATAGACCTTGATTCAGTCTTGCACTGAAGTTGCCATACTACCTCCTAGTATGTAGCTGTCCTGTTGAGAGCGCTCTCCTTTGTAGCAGGAGACGTCAGATCCAAGTGGGACTGTGTGAGCGAAGTGCCCTCCCTAATAACTGTCTCCTCTGTATGTATTTGTATTTCCAGAGAATGTCTTTCAGACTCTTGTACACCCAGATAACCTGTCACCATTACTGCTCCAGAGCCTGCATCTCAGACTTGGTAGAAAACATTGCAGCTCCAACAGTCAAGAAATACATAATTTTTTGTCTTACAAACCCCTTGTTGGCTGCTCGTGTGATCTTGGTGAGAATTCCACCTTGTGTCGAGAAGGACGGCGTTGTCGAATGCTGAGAAGTGTAAGCGATCTGAAGTCTAAAGTCACAAGTGCTGTGGGACTCTATTGGCCAAGGATTCACTTTATGTTTAAAGTAACCCTGACAGTAACTAGGGGCCACATTCTACCACTGACGCTGGAAAGATTGGCATGGCTTAGAAACAACGAGCAGAGACACCTTTCGTAGAAATGACAGTAGTATTTATTCAGAGTGATGGCCACATCCCATGTCACTTAGTCATACTAGAGAGCCAGCCAAGTTTGAATAATGAAGGTGTAGCTGAGTCTTCCTCACTGACGAGCTGTCTGAATGAGGAGCCGGGATGCATCGGGTCATCTGCTCGCGAGAGTGCTGGGGGGACGACCTGCCATTGCATGGAGAGGAAAGTGCCTTAGAGTCCACCCAGATCCTCCTGCCTGCCCACCCTCCACCCTGCTCCACCCGGAATGCACACAGCACACAGCAGATCTGAGAAGCACGGATAGCTCTAGTTCAGGGGATCTGAAAAGGATATGGGGACAACTAAAATTTTCAGATGGAACTATTGTAGGAAAAGGGTAAATATGTACCTCCTTTCCATGGGTTTTCCTCTACTATGGACAGAATTTAAAGGTCAGTTACTTGAAGTAGAAATTTAGAATTGTGGGGGGAAGTTACTGCACAGGCCAATGCTTAAGAGGTGGATGGTTTGTGCAGGAACTTTTTTTTTTTTACTACCATCTCCAAGTTTTAAAACCAGATGTTTGACAAGGATTTTGGATCTTCATGGGTTTGATGGCAGGGAATATGGAAAGGACTCATTACTAATATTTAGTCTAGCAATAAAGCAAACTCAATGCTGTAAGAAGCCAGCATCTGAGCTTTCAAACACACATGTAATACAACACAATGCAGAAATACCCAGGACTCCTGCAGGCTAATGGATGGCAGCCGACTGAAACAAAAGGTGCATTAACAAGAAAACTTAAAACTCCAAAAAGCAAATTTCCTTTTATTTATTACCCAACGAAAGGAAATGGAAGATGAAACCATCACCAAAACAAATCCATTTTTTTCCAAATAAGTATAACAACAGTGCTGGGTTAGCAGTTCACTCTCTTATCCTACAAAACCCAAGAATAACCTCCATCCTATCCTGTGTATTTTCTACAGCCTTGGCAGCCTGAGACCCGTTTCTATTACGAGGCTACTTGATAGTGTAAATGGGCATCTTAAACCTCCTATCAGCTCAAGCTAGTAAAACCTTGTACTTCTATATTGCACCGCCATTAAAAGCAGCATTAGTGCATTTTGTCACCATTCAGTTCTTTATTGATTCTTTAAGGGGAGCTGACTGTGTGGTTTGGTGGGAGATGGGACAGGATCAATAGGGATGAACCTCGATTTCTGCACTGACCTGCGCTTTTGATTCGATGCTCCTGCTGGTTGATCTGGCCTTTCGAGTGCTTGTCATGCTCAGTGGAAGAAGTCCAAACCTCCAAGACAAGACGAGCGGATTTCAGTAGCATGAACAGGAAGCTGTGGGGCCCAGCAGAGCCTCATAGACTCGTTACCTGATCTGACTCGATGCCAGCGGCAGTATGTTGTGGGGTTCCTGGGAGTTGAATGTACTGCTCCTGGGGGTGAACTGATTCTCTGTGCCAGTAACCAATCCAAATAGAACCTGACAGATGAAAAGGGGGCACAAAAACATGCTGGGTTTTTACTGGCCAGTTAAAATCACTCCTGTTAGTAATCAGTCACTGCTGTCTCTGTTTCTAACCACCCTTTTGGGGAATGTTCTTTTCAGTGTGTTAATGCTTAAAAATTACCACCCGTCAGAATCTCAGTCACATGGCTCTTTTATTTTATTCCTCTTTCTAAAACCCAAATAATCCCTATCTACAACTAAAGGGGTCAGATCACGGTTGTCTCAGCAAGATCTCACCTAATCCAATTTCAATCTTTATAACTGAACTCAGCTATTT